ATATATATATATATATATATATATTATAAACTTGATTTACTCAGGTTGTTGATATTCGACGATCTAATTTCATTAATTCATTTTGCCAGCGTTGAGTAAATTAATATTATTTTTAAATTACTTAATTAAATTAATTTTTAAATTTTTTAAATTATTAGTTGAAGTTAATGACTTGTAAAAGTAATTTAGTTACGTTAAAAATAAATTGACTTACTAAATTACTTAAATTAAAAGTTAATTTTAAAAAACTTTATATTAAATTAAAATGTAATTTTTTAAAAGTAAAATATTTTAGATAACAAAACAGAATAAAATATAGGTCATATCAAATAAATTTAACACTTTATTTGTAAATTAAGTTTATATGAAATATCAAAAATATTGTTTTTTTTATAATTTTTTTCTTTTAAATAGGTAAATTTTTAACTTAGAAGAAAATTAATAAGTTAAAGTTTATGTGTTTTAAAATAAAAAAATAATTAGTTGAAGTAAATTAATTTATTTAAAATTAACTAAGTTAAGTTAAAAGTTATTAATTTTTTAATTTTGTTAGTTTAACTTTTAACTTTTTAACTAATTACTATCCAACTCTGATTTTTGCATATTGTTTAGATTAATTTGAAAAATTTAAGGGATAAATTTCTCATTTAAAACAATATTATTATTATGTTCAATATTATTAGAATCGATAGTTGAGACGCTACGAATGTATAATACAGAGAAAAAGAGAAGAAGCGCTTTTTTTCGGAGACAAATAGCTCTCGCACCTCTGAAAACCGGCCAATTAGACGCTAACCTCCGTGAGCGGAAAGAGAAAGAAAGAAAGAAAGAAGGAAAGAAAGAAAGAAAGAAAGAAAGAAAGAAAGAAAGAGAGATCTGAATGTGCCCAGCGGCATGAATGCACGGCCTCGATCTCCATGTCGATCCCGATCCCCTCCTTCGGCGAGGAAGCCCGGCATACGCGAGGGAAGGAGACCGGTCTGCCGTTGCGTGCGCGGCTCGCATTACGGCGCTGAATATTTCATTCATAAGCGGGCCGAGCAATTACCGTATTCCACGAACGTGTGGTGCGCGCAAGAGACGTCCGCGATCGCGCTTACGTACCGCGCGCACCCCCCGCGCATCCCCCGCGCGCGCGCGCTCGTAGCAGCTACAATTACGCGAGGCGCGGCCCCCGGCGCGGTGAATGAAACGCACTCTCTTTTTTCATCTCTCTCTCTCTC